CTCGGGAGGGATTCAAATACTCATCCTTGGCCGAGCGAGTGTGCTCAGGAGGGAATTCTTTCAACCTCGACCGAGTGAGGAACTCGGGAGGGATTCAAATACTCATCCTTGGCCGAGCGAGTGTGCTTGGGAGGGATTTAAGTACTCATCCTTGGCCGAGCGAGTGTGCCCGGGAGGGAATTCTTTCAACCTCGGCCGAGTGAGGTACTCGGGAGGGATTCAAATACTCATCCTTGGCCGAGCGAGTGTGCTCGGGAGGGATTTAAGTACTCATCCTTGGCCGAACGAGTGTGCTCGGGAGGGAATCCTTTCAACCTTGGCCGAGCGAGGTTGCTCGGGAGGGAAGTGTATTTCATCTTTGGCCGAGTAGTAGGCACTCGGGAGGGATTAAGTGATTCGATATGATTAAATTGTTGCCAAGTAATTTCTGAAAAAGGAGTTGGTTTCATTGATATGGAGCCTCATTAAAAACCTTTGTCAGTAAAACCTTTTTCACATTCTTATAGGAGGAAAAAACCTGACAAAGGAAAAGAGTGCTCCGAAACAATTTACATAAGAGTTTACTAGCTATAGTAATGCTTTAAGTGAGTTGCATTCCATGTCCGAGGGATGTGGCTTTCCTTGTGAGTTCTTCTAACTTGTATGCTCCATTTTGCAAGTTGTGCATTATACGATAGGGGCCATCCCAGTTGGGTGCCAACTTTCCTTAGGTCTTGTCCTTACGTGCTTCGCCTGTAACCCGCCAAACTAAGTCCCCGGGCTGAAATCCTCTTGGCTTGACCTTCGTCCGATACTTCCTGCTTATCCTGGTTCGACAAGCCTCCATATTGATGAGTGCTAGATCACGAGCTTCGTCGACTAAGTCCAGCTCTATGTTGAGTGCTTGGCCATTGGCTTCTTCGTCAAACTGTGTCCGTCTCAAGGAGGGTTCTCCGACTTCCACTAGGATCATGGCATCTGTGCCATAAGTCAACCGGAAAGGGGTCTCTCTAGTTGAGGTTTGCGGGGTGCAACGGTATGCCCACAAGATTTCTGGTAGGAAATCGGGCCATGTCCCCTTGGCCTGGCCGAGTCGTCGCTTTAGCTCTTTAAGTACGACCTTATTTGCCGCTTCTGCCTGCCCATTCGATTGGGGGTGCTCTACTGAAGTCATCTTATGCTTAATCCCCAACCCAGAAAGAAAGTCATTAAAGCGGCGATCGGTAAATTGTAGGCCATTATCTGTGATCAGAGCGTATGGGATTCCGAAGCGAGTTATAACATTTTTCCAGAAAAACTTCTGCATATTATTGGCCGTGATGGTTGCCACTGCCTCCGCCTCGATCCATTTAGTGAAATGATCAATGGCCACAATGAGAAACTTCACTTGGCCCTTCGCGGGTGGGAATGGTCCTAAGATATCCATGCCCCAGGTAGAGAATGGCCAAGGGGTGATAATGGAGTGCAACTCTTCTGGTGGTTGATGTGTCAAAGGCCCATGCTGCTGACAGGGTTTACACTGCTGTACAAACTTGGCGTAGTCTGCTACCAGTGTTGGCCAATAGTATCCGGCTCGGATGACCTTTGTTGCAAGAGTGCGGCTTCCCGAGTGAGTTCCACATATGCCTTCGTGGATTTCTCAAATCACGTAGTGCGCTTGTTCGGGTGGCAAGCATTTCAACAAAGGTGACGAGATTCCTCTCTTATATAAATCTCCAGCGATGAGGGTGTATCGGGCCGTCGCGATTCTCATCCTCTTTGCCTCCAAGGGGTCCGTCGGCAATGACCCAGTTTCAAGGTATTCGACAATTCCGGTCATCCAAGTGTCTTCCCCCTGCTGGAGCTGTAAACACTCAGCCTCCCCTATACTAGGTGCCTGTAGTTCTTGCTGTATGATGCTGCGCAAGTGGCTTGTCTTTTTGCTGCTTGCCAATCTGGCCAGTTGGTCCGCTCTCACATTCAGTTCTCGAGGCATGTGTTCAACTTGGACTTCTTGATGTGTCAAAGGCCCATGCTGCTGACAGGGTTTACACTGCTGTACAAACTTGGCGTAGTCTGCTACCAGTGTTGGCCAATAGTATCCGGCTCGG